TTTGATTTTTCTGACCAGCTTGCTTTCCCTTGTGTCTTGCTTGAAATGCACCTTCAGTTACATCATCCATTCTCATGGAGAATCTTTGCTCATGAGCTTGCAATTTACTGACCATTTCGGAAATGGTTAGTTTCTTAAGATCACATGACTCTTCAATGGCAGCAACTTTGGCTTCAAATTTTACGGGTAGACTGATCAACATTTTTTCGACTACCTTGTGGTCATGGACCACCTCTCCATACAATCTCATTTGGTTCACCAAGTGAGACAGCTTTGAAGTGTACTCCTTGACTGATTCACTTTCCTTCATTTTCAGCATTTCAAACTCTCTTTTAAGAGTCAATAGTTTGATGGATCTCACCCGTTCATCATCGACATACCTTTCGTTCAACTCGTCCCATAATTGTTTTGCTGTTTCCAAATGCATAATGCTTGTAAAAACATCATCTGTCAAAGCTGAATGTAAACATGAGACAACTTTTTCCTTCTTCAAAATCTCCTCCTCATGTTGCTTCATTTGAGCTATAGTAAGATTAGCCCTCAATGGTGGAACTCGCTTATCTTGATCTACATACTCCCATAAGCCAAAAGACTTCAAACATGATCTCATTTTGACAATCCATATGTGATAGTTTTCCCGGTTGGCTCACCGGGCTGAGCCCATTTTGACAGCTCTATGAATTAGGGTTGCTTTGGGCTCTAGGCTTGAGATAAGATATGATAGCGGATCTCGTCTGGGACGAGATCTTCGGCAATCAGTGATTAGATAATGGATCTCGTATGGGCGAGATTCTCGAGAATCAGTTGTGATTCACCTGAATGCGGAGCTGACGTCGTATGACGCGTGCCCGAGATCATCTTGCTGTGATGCCGAGCTGACGTCGTATGATGCGTGCCTGAGATCATCTTGCACTGTAATACCGAGCTTGGAGCTCGGCTTCGCGGTACGGTCAGTACACATTCAATTATTTGAAATGAAGTTTTAATGTTGAATAGAGTGAACATGTCTAAATAACGCAGTTAAACAGCAGAGGTTTTAGAACAAAATTTTCATTTTTTCATCAAATTAATTAAAATAATCAACTACATTATTTTTTTTATTTTGATAATTCATCTTACATTATTTATGATTAAAATCAAAATTAGTATCTTTATGCATTATTAATGAGAAAGTTTACATAAAAAGAGAGATACATATATGGAACAAAATAAAACGAAGATAGGCAGAAAAAGAAATTGAAGAGAGAGAGAAAAATAAATAAATGGAAAAAACGACGGTATAAAATAAAAAGACAAAGAAATATAAGAAAAATACTTCGGTTCTAAATTGAAGATAAAAAAAAAGTCTCTTAATTACTTATCTCAATATAAATAAATTTCATTTAGTCATATTTTATTTAATATTGTCTCTTCAAACAACTATTCAAGCATTTTTTTAACACAAGTTTTATCTAGATTTGAATAACTAAATATTCTTTTACACACAAACCTCTTTAGGCTCAAACTAATGTATATTCTTTTATAATTAAGTTTTTTTAGGCTTAAAGTAATAAATATTTTTTTACAATCAAGTTTCTTCAAGCTTGAACCAATAACACAAAATTAAAATTAGATAAGCTAACTATGTTGTTTTATTTTATTATCAAAGACATGATACAACCAATTAAGTACAAAAACTTTTTATAGAAAGAAATGATATAGGTTTTTTTAATGATTGATTTTTCTGTTTTTTTTATATTTCAAAATCCTTTATAGGATTTTGATGAAGATTACTATTTCAAATTCCTAAGTTTTTTTTTTCTCATGGCCTTCGTTTGTCTTCAAGATTTATTTTTTAAGAAGATAAGCGTTTGCCATCCTATACCAAGATTCATACCAATGGATTGCATCTTAAAAAGATTTGTCTTAATTATTTTGAAAAATTTTATATGGTTGATCAAAACCTTCTTTATTTATTAACATAAAAAACTTAAAAGTGAAGGAATTAAGGTTGTTTTTTTTGACCTAACAGTGTGATATAGAAAGAATGTTAATTTAATTTTCTTCATTCTTCTTCTAATTTATTTATTATTCCATACTCATGTGTTATGATTCATTTTGTTATCTCTACCTTACTTTATGTTTAATTTTTATACTTGTTTGTTATATTAATCTTTTTGTACATTTGTAAGGATGATTGTATCATTGTGTGACTCTTATAAAGTTATACATTTATTTTTTACATAAAAAGATTGCTAGTCACTAATGCATTTGTTATATTTATTTTTATCTTATTATTATGTACTAGTTCATTTATTATATTTAAATTTTAAAAATTTGGTTCAAAAATATTTAATCTCTATAAAATAATATTTTTATTTTGATCCTCTCAAACTTTTGTTTGTTTTGTTTCGAAAATTTCAATTTTCTCAAATTTTTGTTGCTTTGTTTTAATCTTCTTAAAATTTGATATTTATAATTTTTTAACTTTTCTATTTTGAGTACCGTAAATTTTTGATTTTTCACAATCAAATTTAATGACAGTGACAAAGATAAAATAAAAAATATTTTAACTGAAAAAAATATAAAATATAACCAAAACCCATTTTTTTTACATCAACTAAAAGGTTATTTAATTTTTTTAATCAAGAATATTGAATAGATTAAACATGTTTGTACATTTTTTTCTTTTATTTTAAATTCACTGTCATCTCAAATTTTCCAACACTTAATAATGTATTTATTTCATGCTACATTGGGATTTTTTTTTTTGCCGCTAAATATTATTTTTATGAAGATTATAGATGTTATAAATATTCTCTTATATAAATTATAACAGTTATTTGCGGGGACAAATTTATGTTTCTTAGCGTAACATATATAAATTGTATTATATTATTTTACTTGATAATTTTTATTTTAATATTAACAAAAAAGTTAAATTATTAAATCTTATTAAAGTACGATCTACTAATTTATATAGAAACTATTTTTTATAGTATTACATTTTTTTATTTATTAAAATTATAACGACAGTACTAAAGTCTAAACTTAAGATCTTTTTGTATATTATTTTAATTTTACCATTAGACTAGACTGATTCTAATAGTTTTAATTTTTTTTTATAAAAAAAACTATCTTAATGTTTACTTGGATTAATAAGAAATCATAAATTTTTCTATGATATTAGTCATATAAAAGTAAAATGCTACATTTAATTACAATTTAATGCCCAGATAAAAAATTCAACACTACAAATTTATACATATAAATGTTACTTCCACCGCTTATAATTTCTAAATCTGTCAATAATTGTTTGAATCACTCTAATAATGAAAGTTAAAATAATATATATAAAATTTTAAATTTAAAAATAAGTGTCATAATAGTGATTCTTATCGATAAAAAAATAAAATAATTATCTTAAATGAGAAAATGTTATTATATTTTTTAGGAGTTATTCTTCGATGAAATATTTTTAAGTATTTATTTTAAAAAAAATATTTTTAAGAATTCTAATAAATTATTTTATGGATTTTTTAAAACTATTTATCTCTTTTAATTTATATTTTTTAATCTTTTATTTATAAAATAAATATAATATTTTAAATATTATCGAATAATTAAAATATTACATCACAATATAAACTATTCATTATAAATTTTAAATATAATTTATGCGTTTAAAACTATTTGTTTAACATAACTTATATCGAAACATATTTAATTATTATAACTTTTAGTTATATAAAAAATGTTTAAATTATTTTTAATTAAAAATATAAAATAAACATATGTATAAACTCCTATTGGATTTATGTTAGAGGTGTCAAACAATTCAATTGGAGGTTGAAATTCATAAAAATACACTTGGATATATTTTTAAAGAGGTTGTTATAGTTAAAAAAAACACTTAAATTGTTTTTATTCTATTTTTAAAATACCTGATTCCTATTTAGGTAGGAGTCTTTATAGCATATCTAGAATAAGATTCTCTCTTACAATTCTTTTGGAGAAAAAAAAAAGGCTGTTTCCCTTAAAAAACAAAAAAAAAAGGCTGTTTAAATATTTTTGTGAATCGGATAAAATTAATTGACAAGTTATTTTTTGTTTACATTTGACAAGTTAATTAAAACTTGATAAACTAATTAAAAGTTAAAAAGATTTTAACAAAACCCGTAAACTAACTTATTTGAAGTGTTTGGTATTAGTGGTTGTTAAATTAATTGAAAATGTAAAATGGCTTGTTTGTATAATTTTTTATATAAAATATTTTTTTCCGACAAATTTATCTCTTAGGTAGTTACAATTTTAGTGTTCACAAAATTTGGAATCTTATTGAAATTCTAAAATAATAATTTATTAAGAATAAGTCCGTAAAATAGTGCTAATAAGAAGTAGATAAGTGACCAGTCGAGTGAAAATGCATGCCGCAAATGAAAAGAATTATGGATTGTGTATTCCTAGGTAAATACTATGGAAATATTAAATATTTTAATCTAAAAAAAACTACAATACTTTTGATATTTTTAGTATAAAAAATATTTTTTTTATCATGTTATTATGTACACAACAAAAAATTAAAATAAAAAATAAATTTAATAAGAATATATTTATAACAAGACTTCCACCTGTAGATTGATTATTTCAACTTTGTAAAAATAAAAATATGATTTTCACTTAAAAAAGTGCGTAAAAATCTCTATATTGAATATATATAAAATTAAACTGTAAAAGAAGTAAACATATAACTAGATTATCTTAAAACTGGTAGATAAAGAAGAGTAAATACTAAATAGACATTAATAAATACTTGAGCATAAACAAAAATGAATTGCTCAAGTGGTTAGTGTCATAATATTAAATAAGAAGTGAAAAAGGTACGTTTTGATGAAGAATAAACACTGGTGAGACAGCTGGCTGGCTATTCCTACTCTCATCTTGGCCAGTTGCCATCCTCCATTGAATTACCCTTCTCTTCTCAGCTCCAACTTCATTCTCTCCTTCCTTTTCCGGTAAAGTTGTTTGCTTTTACCTCTTCTTTTCTTGAGAGCTGCATCAATGTGGCAATTTGGATGTGGGATCTCATCTCACTTGGAATTCGTGTCTTACCCCACATTTTTCCCTTTACCAACTTTTCCCATTTTAAACACTTTTTTCTTGTTTTCTCTTGCATTTGGGACCCTTCTGTTGAATTCACGTGTACCCAGTCGCCCAAAGTTTGAATTTTTTTGACATTGGATAAATAAAGTTGCTTGCTTCCTGCAATCATGGTACTACTAGACGGGGTCTAAAAAAAAAACACTTTTTTTTTGGGGTGGACTGGGGGGTGAATGTAAAATTCTGGTTACTCTGTGCCTTTTTCTGGTTTTAGGATATGCTTTACCTTTGAGGGCATTTGGATCTGGAAGAGCTTTTAGTGCATGGAGATTCTTTTCTCTCGTTCTCACTCTCTTTCTTCAATTCATATAATTACTTGGGACCAGCTTCCTTGTAAATTTTGAAACTTTTTACTGCTACTGACTCTGGGTTTCCGTTTGACACTTTTTTTTTTTTTAAATGCAAACAAAAGTCTCTTTCTTAGCAGCCAGTTGGTGTTGTTTCTCGCAGGAGTTGGGCACTGGTAGCTTATCTTGTGTAAATGTATGTCTTTCATTGGAATTCGTGAGAAAAGTTTATTTGGGAGATTTGAGATCAAGTTGCAGCTTATAAGTTATTAGGAAGGGAGCTTTCAGTTGTGAAGATGAGTGGCTAATTGACTTTGAGGTTCTTAGTGAGGTCATGAGGTGGAGTTGCAGTGAGCTACATGTAGAAGCAAGATGATTGAGCAATTCATCAATTTCGTTATTCGACCTCCCAGGTATTAATTTTTTCTTCACTGGTTGGTGGCATGACACTATTCAACTAAGCAGGTACAGTTGTGTGATGGCTACTGGGACAGGGAATGTTAACCCTGTCATATTAGGGCTCTTTCTCCTCGCAAGAGGATTCCTATTTTGTTCCCCACCCTAGTAATTACGCGTGTTCCTGTACTTTTTTTTTTTTTTTTTTGTTTTGTTTTCGTGTTTATCTATTGCCTTTAATTTCCATACCTGTTTTTGTTTATCGTGGCCATGTCATCTTAGTGGTTGATAATTTAGGGGGAAAGTACTTGATATGCACCAAAATTGTCTTTACCTATTTAATATGTTGTTTCTTTCCTTGATAAACAGTGTTTGAACTAGATGTTTTTTATTCTTTTCATTTGATTGAAATTTCCTTTGCACTGTATACTGTGTTCGAAATGAAATTGTCTCAATCATCTTCAAGGAGAACTATGTTAGATAGTCTTACGAATAGATTTTATCAACTTTGATTTACTGTCTGTAAATAACTATGTACGTGCCTGTTCATCTGTTAGACAACTAGAGAAGGATAGGAAGTTAAAAGTGTATTATAGGAAGAAGGGTACAAATAAGAATTAAACTTATTTGACCTTTTGACCTTTTAGAGTGGGGGACGGTAACAATTAGTTAGTGAGGTCCTCTTTAAATAGGACTGGTCTAGGTGGGGAAGGAGCATTCATTTTTTGGGTTAGTATCTTAACTGGACAGATTCCAGTGTGAAAGGAGTAGTCTCCTTTGTGTACTCATTTTCCTTACAATCAATAAATTCCAGGGACGAATAATTCCCTTTCTCTCTTAGTCCTCTTCTAAGCTCTAACATCATCCATTCTCAACTTGTGACTATATTTTTCCAGCAAATTTTGTTACAATTATATCTACTTTGTCACATTTACAGGGCAGAGTATAACCCTGATCAGTACCTCTGGGAAAAGGAATTCACCCTTGCAGGAAGAACATACCAAAGGCAGGATTTGGAGGCAAGTATGGACATTATTATTTGATGATTGCTTACAATTATTGATTACTAGATATGGTTAAGTCATGATTCCAATTGTTTGCTTACCATTATATTATATATTTTCAATTGTGCAGCTCAAGAATGCCAGAGGCTATACCTTGAAGTGCAGTCATTATCTCCCTTCTCCTTTACCTGAAGATACTTCTCTTCCTTGTGTTATATATTGCCATGGAAACAGGTATGTGTTATTTAAGTGGCTCTTGTATTGATGCTTATAAATATTGTATATATATGATCATAAATATAACTTTTGTAGCTATTTTATTCTTCTCCCTCGTGATATTTGTGCATATGTACAATGATGCAGCGGATGTAGGGCAGATTCCAATGAAGCTGCTGTAATTCTTCTTCCTTCAAATATTACTGTTTTTACACTTGACTTCTCAGGGTCAGGCTTATCTGATGGAGACTATGTTAGTCTTGGTTGGCATGAAGTAAGTTACCTCTTGAAGCATGTTTTTTGTTTATTAATTTCCGGCTATTAACTTGAGTTTCTGTACCCCATCTTTTCTGAAATTACTGATGTGTGTCCATTCCTTTGTGTGGTAGAAAGATGATCTCAAGATGGTGGTGTCATATTTGAGAAGCAACAAACAAATATCTCGTATAGGTCTTTGGGGACGATCGATGGGTGCAGTTACTAGGTATTACATCTCGCAATTAACTTGTTTGATATTGATTTTTTATACGAATTTCTTCAACTTTGATACTTTATACTTGCCATGTGTACCCTCACAGAAAAAGAAGAAAGGTCCTCAATAGATGATTTTTGATGTATTCAATTGTATTGTTCTAGACTTCTAGTATAATTTCATGACCTAAGTTTTACTTCTCCCTTCTATCTTTGCACAGGGATGGAAAAATGGATTGAAGTCATTGAACATTGTTGTTCAATCCATTTAACATGCCAAACTGAGTTGGGTTGGAATGTGAGGTCACCTCGCATAACCTGCCAACCCAACAACTGGTTAATTTATGAGTCATCCATAATATATAATGGATGACTCAGAGCATTTGTGCTAAAGACAATATAGTGAGATAATATTTTTTGTGATTGTGATATTAATTTTAGATTTATTTTATCGATTTAGTGGGTCAACTTATGAGTCATCCATTATATATTTATTAGCTTGTTGAGGGAGTTGGATTAACCCATTTTAACATCCCTATACTGTATATGTGTGTGTGACTGCGTGTAGACAAAAATGTTGAGGTCTTCTGACAGGAATTTTTTTTAAAATTTTAAAATTTTAAAATTTTTAAAATTTCTTTATTATTATTATTATTATTTGAGAAAGGAGAATGCTAACAAATCCCTTTAGGACCCTGGTTAAGAAATTGAAAGTGATTTTTTTTAAAGCAAAATATTATCAATGTATGGCATTGTTAGCAGGATCCTTTGAGAAATTGGGGGAAGAAAAGAGAAAAATAATAAAAAAATGATTTTTCTCCCTTTCAAATACATATTTTTAAAGAATTAATGGCCAAGGTACTGGGTTTTACGTTTCAACCTTTACTCTGTATGCATGTAATTATGAACCACCCTTGTATATAAACACACACACACAAATCTCTAGTGTAATTGACTATTCACTTTTGCTTTGCTGGTGATGCAGTCTGCTTTATGGAGCTGAAGACCCTTCTATTGCTGGAATGGTATTGGATAGTGCCTTTTCAAACTTATATGATCTCATGATGGAGCTGGTGGATGTTTATAAAATTCGGCTTCCTAAATTCACTGTAATCTCCCTCTCTAGATGCCTACTTCCTTTGTAGTAAACGCTCAATCAAAAGAGAAGAGGGACTTCATATGGTTTCTTCCAAACAGTCTTGTAGTGATATGAACCTGTAGACCATAGTGCATGATATCTGTCACAAGTCTTTAAAACAATTAGTAGTGCATGTAGTAAAATGGTGGTTCATCATCAGTCAAAGTGGCTCAGACTGCAAAAGTCTTTACTGATATTGCATTATTACAACTGCATCTAGATGTGCTGTTCATGTGTGATAGCAAAAAAATTGTCATGCATTGTGAGGTTAACTGGTTCTAACTAATTTCTATGGCCTAGGGTATCTGCACTCATCTTTGCTTTAACACCATTTTACTAGATCTACACCTCTATTTGCATTTAGTTGGCTAAAGAATTTGTTAGACTTTTATTGAGACTCTTCTGATTTACAGATTGATTTAATTTACCCGCTTGGGCAACATTCACTGTTAAGATCTGTATAAAAAGGAATAGGAGTGTACAAGGGATGAACATTGAAGTTTTGATTAAGATTTTATTTTGAATCTAGGGTTTCTTGTTGTAATTATGATCCCCTTTGTTTTTTTGGAAAACTTTAAATGTGAAAGTTGGGGATACATAATTGTAACAGTTTTTGGCATTAATTGCAGTTTTTTAGTATTTTTTTGGGAAAGTAGGGTGGGGTGAGCTCTCTCACTCAATGTACATTTATGTGTTGATTTTCTTTTAGGTTTTACCGTTTTGCTGTATTTCCCTTGATATTTGGATAATTATGTCCTTGTCCTGTTTTGATTGAGTGGACTGAATGATTTCTCTGCATCTGCACAGTCAGTGAAGTCTTTCATGCCCTCAAGAATAAAAAAAAGTTGTGCAATCGAAAATCCTATGATCACAATCAAATTGTGCTTACTGGAAATATGCATGTAGCTTTTTTTTTTTTAACAGTTATTAGGGTGGTATTGGTTAGTTTGCATGATTTTATTACTTTCTTGCTGGTTGCTTTTTTTTTTTTTTTATAAAAAAATTCTTCAAGCAAAATGGATATAAAACTTATAGTTGTTAACTTTGATCTTCTGGAATTTTTATTAAGTCTGATATTCTGCTGGATTTGCCTGAATTAGGTTAAAATGGCTGTACAGTACATGCGGCGGGTTATTGAGAAGAAGGCAAAGTTTGATATTATGAATCTGAACTGTTTGCTGGTATGTATTAGTTGTGCAGTTCAATTCTTTTGACAAGAGTGGCGAGGCATATATTTTGAGTTTTTTCACATTTTAAATTGTTAATGTAATTATGTAAACTTCATTAATCATATCTATGGAGCACATACAGTAGGCTTCGCTCGTTTGAGGTGTTGGAGTGATGGACACATCTCTGACACCAACACCTTAACACCCATATGACACGTGCACTCTTCACTAGGTGTTCAATTAAAAAAATATATCTTTATCAATTTAGACACTTGAGTTGACACTTCTATGTGCATGAACACTTGCGAGGTCACTAATATTATGAAAAAATATTCAGTTTTTTTGTTTAACATCCATAAAAAAAAAAGTCAGCTTAAAATATAGCATAAAAGTATCAAAAAACACTTCCTCTACTCCTTTCTATCTAGCAGAATTTTAGTAAAATTTTATTTCTATTTACTTGTCATTTTCACATTTCAAGACAAAATTAATTGTTATGTTATCGATTATACCCTTATGTCTTACCTAACTTTTAATTAATTTACACATGACAACTAATATGCATTTATTATGAAGTAAAAATGAAAGAGAGTATAATAGGAAATATCAAAATCATTTTTGTGAAAAATAAAAAAAAATCATTAAATGACTATTATAAAGGAATGGAGGTAGTAATTTCTTAGTATTTTTATTTCCTTGTGACTTGTGAGGCTCATTATCATAGAAAAGAAAGTAAAACATGGCTCTTAATAATTCATCTTATTTTGTGATGTTTTTGTGAAGAGATAAATTGATTTTACTGTAAAGTAATAGCTCTTAATTGTTTTTTGCAAGGCTTATTTTACAGTTGTGTGTGGTGTGTCCAGTTATCCTATATTTTGGATATTAGCGGTGTTAAGAATATCCATGTCATGACATTTATTTTCACCATGGAATCTGAGCTTGATAGGTTGTATTTTCTGGCTAAAGAAATTATTAGGTAGAGAATGAAATTAATGCTTATTAAGAGTGTACTTTTGATGTCCATCTTAAATTAATTAATGCTTTTTAAACCCACAGGTTGCACCAAAAACATTCATTCCTGTTTTATTTGGACATGCAATTGATGACAAATTCATTCAGCCCCACCATTCTGATCTGATATCTGAATCATATGCGGTATTAATTTATTCCAAATATTTGAGAATAAAATTTTCTGAAAGCAATTTGCACCTTTTTTCCATTGGTAGCCAAAATATCTAACATTGTTTCTGATTTTGTAGGGTGATAAAAATGTCATAAAATTTGATGGTGACCACAACTCTTCTCGGCCACAGTTCTTTTATGATTCAGTTTCCATTTTCTTCTACAATGTCCTCCGCCCTCCTAATGTTCCTAGAACTCATAAGCTTGAGAAATATTATGATTTGGGGGATTTGAAACTTGGTTCTGGTGTTGATGAGGTAATTAATATTTAGAATTCGTTGTCTTGATTTCTTCTCAGTTAAATTCTATCTTTAGTATATTTATTGCGTATGACAACTTCCTACTAGTCATTTTGTGCTTTCTTCACTTCAATTGTAGAATATGTGATCAAAATACTAACCAATTAAAATGGCTAATATTTATTTTTATTGAAATGCTAATTGCACTTATGAGAAGCTTGATTCACAAGAAATATAGCTGAATTTGTAGTTTGTGCCCAGAGTGCTGCTTGTGAACTAATGACATGGATATTACAATCCTTAACATCATCATTTCCATCCCTAATAAACCAGGCAGCACTTTTTCCGACCTCTGTTTCACCTCACTCAAGATCAACAAAATGGAAAAAACCAAAGAACCAACCCAGCGTTATGTTTAAGATACACAGATCATTATTAGCATTGAATATAGAGCTGTCAAATGGGTCAGCCCTAACCTATTCAGCCTTGGCCCACATGGTATAGGCCCATAGGGCTATAAAGCCTACATAATACATATGTAAATACCCATATGGCCCAAAAACCCTTAGGACCAAGTGGGCTAGGGTCAGCCCATGGGACACCTCACTTCTAGAAAATATTAATTTGATCTTGTTTTTAAATGGGCTTAACCCCAACCTACTCCGTGGGCCAGCCCACTATTAAACAAACATAATTTCACATTTGCACAAAAGAACAAATAGAAATGTCACAAAAAATTTTTAGCGAATAGTTTCCAAAATTTTAGCCAACAGGAACATAATTAAATGTGCATTAAGAAGATGAAATTAGACTTGGATGTTTTGGATTTTATTCAGAGGAATGCTTAATTAGTAGTTTTGGAAACTATTGGCTTAAATTCTTTCTTTGACTTTCTTATTTGTTAGTGTAAAAACAGGGTCAATAACTTTTTTTTTAATATATATAAAAAAAACTGGGTGTTATATGTGTGGGCTTTACATCCCTACGGGCCTTTGGGCTGTCAACTGTCTTTTCACCATTTGGAAATATTAACATAAATAAATTATTATGTGGTTATGTATTAATATGATCATATATAATTAAGCTTTATTATGTGAGCTTTTTATTTTGAAGAACAGGAACTAATTTCCTCATTCTTTCATGCTAGAACCTATTATATGAGATTCTCTCTAGTCTGCGGTCTGCATCAACTGATGCTGCAAGTTCATCTTCTGTGCTTCCATCAATTTCCTCCACAAAATCAGTTAGCGAACTTCTTTCAGAAGTTGCACCAGTGACTGATGTTGTAGGATGCCCTTACCTTCTTTTCATGTGTTTTTCTTCCAAAAACTTTGTTATGTTCAATTGATTCATCACTTGCTATGCAGGAATCCTTTTTGCGAGAAGATACTAATGGACATGATGAAACTGGCCATGATGAGCCCTCAGATGTGCAGGTGATCATATCAGACACTCTGGAATTAAGAAAATGTTTCAGAGTTTTTTTTACCTCTAGGTTTTGCCGTTGGAAACAAGCATCACATTTTAAAATCTACTCATTATGTGGTAGTTTGGGCCTTGCTAACATTTATTTAAAAATAGTAATTCCTTTGCTACATCCAGATTTTATAATTTTAGCATTCCTTTATTTGAAGTATGCCATTAATGAAATTGACAGGATAAGCTAAATGGAGAGGGTGAAGAGTGTTGCTCATACACAAGCTCAAATAGAGAAAGTTGGGGCAGATGTTCTTCTTTAGGAGGCAGTGATGAAGAATCTTGTGCAGATTTAAGGGCTGATGATACCCTCTCTCAGGTACATAATATTTCCTTTATTTATTCATTAATAGCATACATGGCATGTATTGACAAAATGATTTTGTAGTAACCAATACTAATGTTTATATGAATCAAACATAGTTGTTCTGCTGTCTGTGCTTTGCTTCTCATGCATGCATATTACATGTAACGTAAGCAAGCATATCTGTTCATTCATTGACATATCGTGTGCTTCATATGTCAGAATACTGTGAAGGTGTTTGCAACACGTATGAGAAGCACGAAAGAAAAAGCGTCGGAGGCAAAAGAAGATGAGAAAAAGAACAAGAAGAATAAGAAAAAGAAGAAGAAAGGTGAAGGCGTTGTGAAGAAGCCAAAGAGTGAGAGGTTTGAGAAGTTGGAGGCTCTTAGCAGACGCCTTCGGCTTTGCCTTCTAAAGGGGTCAACCCATCGAAGGCACAAGTCTTCTTAAACACACTCTCTTCCTCTTTTGTATCATATTACTCATCCATCATCTAATTCTAATGTTTCTTTTTTACAACATTAATATTATAATACTATTTCTAGGTAGTTCTTCAAATTCAACTTTAGGTTTTACTTTAGGAATTGCCAAACATTGGTTTCTCTTTGGCTTTGATTTCCTTGCTGTGATTATTATTTCATATTTATGAAGCTGACTCACCCCATTGCATGCCCACAATGATGTACACACCAGTTCAAATATTAATACGTGTGAGATATGTATACAAATTTATAAAACATAAAAGATATATAAATTGTAATTCATGTAAATTTAAATTAAGAATATACTTGTACATTATTAAAAACAATAAAAATTATAAATTATTGGTATCTTAAATCACTTATTTTTTATAAATAAAAATAGTATCAATTTTCTTTTATAAAACCATTCATTAATTGAACAATAGTTTTCGGTTCATTAAGAGATAATGCTTATATTTTATTTTATTATACATGTTTGTGTCTCAATTGAATTTTCATAATTTCAAGCATTAAAGAGTATCAATATTGGAATATAAATGTGTACTGTTTTCACTTTTATATGGGACCGGGCCGGTCAAAACAATGCGATTAAGATTGGGCGGGAGAAGCAAACGATGTTCCTGAGATATATAGCAAGTGATCATGGAAGTTACTATTTTCACCCCTCTCCATTCTACTATTTAACCCCATAGGCCCATACCTTTTAAAAAAGTATATGTTTTCAGCGAAAAATAACCCCAACATTTAACACAATGGAGACTTATGTCATCATCTCATTAGACTAATCAATAATAGCCCTACAAGTGTATTAGGCATTCAGTATGTATTTCTGTAAATGAAAAAAACTTATGTATAAATTAATTCATAAAAGTATTTTCCAAAAACTATTTTTAATTTATCAAAAAATTTAACTCGTTTCTTCTTATTATTTTCTTTTCTTGCAATTATTTATTGAAACAAAACCTTAGTACCTGTATTACTTTTCATAGTTTAAGAAATTGTTAAATTTATTACAACAATTTCTAATATATAAGAATATCGAACAAAAAGAAAACATGAACTGTTAACAAAAAAAAATGTTGTAAAAATAACATTATTTGTCTTAGGTTATGACATTTTTATTAAAGTTAGAGACACCTTAATAGTAATACAATCATGTTATTATATTTCATAATTAAATAATTATTACCCAAAGGTCTGTCAGTTTGATTTTTGCAAGTTGCTCCTTTGTTGATTGCTAGTTGTTCAACAATTGCTCTAAAATTATTTTTTTAACAAAATAATTTTTAAAATTTGAAAGTAAACATAATTACACATGATGAGTTAGTCGAACATTTCATTCGATAAATAGTAAATTGTAATATTATTTAAATAAAATAGGATAAATATTTATATTACATAAAAATGAAAGGTTCATCCACTAATATTTAAAGCGTAGGAATAACTACTTATTTCACATGAAAATAAAAATTAATATTTAAGTATATTCTTTATATGTATAAATTAAAATAACTATATTGAATGAAAATATTTTTCATTTTTACTGTTACTAGTATAATTTTTTTTCCAACTAAAATCTTATCTCTTTTATTTCTTTTTAATTTTTAAATTGAAATTCATTTAAAAAAAAACATAAATAATAAAAAATAATCTCGTATGAAGATATAATTTATAATTTTATATATCAATCAGTGGAATGTTGCAAATAGCGAAATCTGATTTTCCCCTTCATGTTTGTGTCGTGACTGCGGTCTCCTCTGAACTCGCCTGGGTCCTCCGGTAATTCTCTTCCTCTTCCTTTGCCTCAAACCTCAAACCTCAAACCCTTCTTCTGTACATTCACTATCTCAATTTTCATATTTTTGCTTTATATTGTTAAATTGTTTTAATTCACCTCGGTCCCGAGGTTTGTTCTCAAAGTAATTAATCAAAGTCTCTTTCATCCAGTGTAGGTGGTATCTTATGTGTCATGTTCCAGGAATTTTCATTTTTTTTATTATCTAATTGAAACAATAGCCTGAGATATGCCAAGTGCAGAGAATTTAAAAGTACCATATCTTGTAAGAGGTGATTTCTTCGTCTTTCATAGGATTGTAGTACTTTTATTTTTATTCTCTATAGTTCTAAATGTTAAAACAATCAATTTAGCTTGCTATATATAGCAAAGCTGCAATGATTATATTTAATTTAGAAACTGTATATAGTTTTTTTTTTAATTTTTTTTTTTCATTTAAAAGTAGGAAAAGGTAGAAATTCTTTTTGAAGAATGCTCTCCTTCTGGAACTGCTGTGGATTGAGTGCAATGTCACAGTTCTTCAACAAACAGATGGGGTGTTCTGGAACTAATTTGTTTTTTGATGTATTTTATCCTCCTCTTATATACATCTTTTTCTGCTTAATAATTCATTTTTTAACATCAATATAAGAAAAGAAAATATTGTGAGACACCATATCTGGCTATATCCATCAAAAAGTTGATAGCCATGAAGAAAATATGGTAACAAGCTAAGTACAGCTTTTTCTTTGTGGTACTGATGAAGATCACCCTATATACGAGTGAAACAGAAGTTCAATTTAAAGCATAAGTTTGCTACTAGGTGTAGGATTCTCAATCTGAAGAAATTATATTTCACTCACATACCCTTCTTAGATACTACCTAATTTGCATAAGGGGCTTCCTGTCAGTAACAGGTTAAAATGAACTGATGAGTTTCATACATAACTTGTATATTCCCCGGGGATTCACATCTATATTTATTTGTTTGATTACTAACAAAAGAATAGTTTAGGTATTAGTTGTTAAGGTCAAGAGTAATGTGTCAACAACTAAATTTAACATTGTGTGTGTTTGTATAAATAGACTTTTCAATTTTTATATCCTTTATTTGGATAAATTTCAAAAACTTATGGCTGTAATCCAGGATATGCATCAAATGTTTTAGATTGAATTTCAAAAGTTTTTTTTCGTGGAGTGCTTCATCAGTTTATATTGACATTCAGCAAAGACTTTTGATTTTGAATGATAACAAGGTTACAACCAATGGGGTTGTGTATCAAATGATATAAAGATGTGCACATGGTAGTTATGTCAGTAAGGTGATAGTGGGTTTTTCTTTTGGTTTTGTTGGGCTTATCATGTGCTACAGATTGTTAGTTAGTTGTGGTTGTTGAGTTTAGTTATTTGGTTGATATTAGTTAGCTTCCATTCCTTCCTTTTTATCACCATTTGTTGAAACAACTGCTGTATTCTTTTCATGCTGCATAATTTGATCTCCTAAGCGTTCTCTCTGATCTATAGGCAGTCAATTTAGAGAATGCATTGCCCAACTCATGACCACAAATGAAAAGTTCAAATCTCAGTCAAACCCAAGGATATTCTGTGTGGTTTCACCAGTGGAGATATCTCAATTGGATAGTCTATAACAAATGTAGGTTGGATGAGCTTTGCTTCTACAAAAGTCTCAATAACCTCATTAAGAAGGAGGCCAACGGATTGGCATGTTTCAATGGAACCTTTATCTTTGTTATCCCAATTTGGTTTGCAACCTCAAGATCATTCCCCAATTCATTGAAATTGATCCTGGCAGTTTCTTTAACAAGGTTGTGATTAGTCTCCCTCCCCCAGGGCCTTTCCAGGCATATCTCGACTCCTTGATAATCAATGGTAAGCTTCCCATGAACTGCAAGAGCACATTGAGTGATGATCTCCTCTGTGAAATTTATCATGCTTTGTAATCCGACTATGCTTCATACATCTCTATAGTTGTAAATTCAGGATTATGTCTAGTTGAAATTCCTTCATTTATGAATATTGGGCCAATCTCCTATACTTTTTTGAAACCACCGACCAGCATTCTCTTTAGATGTAATTCAGTTGCAATTTTCAGATATAAGTTCCTTCCAAGAGAATTATGGTATGTAATAAATGGACTGGCTTCTGCTCACCCCTGCTGCTCCCTGCAAAACTGGTGTTTCAACTTCAACAAAACCTGAAAAAACCACTGTCTCTGTATCTCTGATACAACCTTTGCTCTTTTACAGAACACATCTGCCACCTTTGGATTTGCGATCATATTGAAATGATAGAATTGCAAATGAAATGAAAATACAACTGAAATGAAAAGCAAATGAAATAACAAATGAAAATATGTAACAAACTAATAATAGAGAAATTATACTCTTACACCACCCACCCCCCCCC